AAAGCGCATGATGATGTTAGTCCTGCGGCTTTGGTGTCGATGAGAGGGGGTTGGTCACTTGATGCACAGGGGTAGAAAAGGTGTGCGTGGGTGTGCGGAAAAGCGCGGCCAAAAAAGCTCAAGCAAAGCTCTGGAGCGGGCGTTTCGCAGAGAGGGGATACGGGGAGGAAATCGTATCATTTTGCCAGCCGTTATACATGGCTGCTGACCACTGCTGCTGCCTCTGCTGAACATGTTTATCATGGATCCGTTCTGCGGACTGATTATTTGATCGACGCCGGGTTTCGACTTTCGTGTTGGAGGCTTTCGCCGCTGTTCCGCCGCATTAGGGGCCATTTGCAAATATCACTGTCCCTTTCAGGAGACCAACCCCGTCTTGTTGTGGGGGAACCTCTCGGTGCACGCGTGGGCAGTGCAGCGGTAGAGCACAGCACGGCCTTGAGTCCAGCCCTCTCATAGCTAGCCAAAAAAGGCTTGGTCCATGTGCGGTGGCCTCGGCTCTGTGTTCGTTGTCGAGCTAGGCTGGCCTCTTGGATTTCGATTATCAGGTCAATTTTCAAACTCGGAAAATAGAAAATAGTGTTTGTTGTTGATCCTTTGAGGGGGGGGTGATCGGCGCTGCTGAGCCTGGGAGCCGCGAGCTTAACTAGTCTGACCCGGGGTCTGGGAAAGCAGGCGAGGACATGGAGGATGAGAATCCATCGCAGGAGTCAAGGTGAGCGCCCCAACCCCGGCACACTTTGATTTTCAAACTCCCGGCAGCGTGGTCCAGCAAGCATGACGGCGAAGGCAACGGCCAGTCTCAGTCGCAGTACAATAACCGCCAGCGACAGCAGTATCTACTGCTGTAGATGCATGTTGTAGTACATGCAACACACGCGTTACTATGATAGTACCTGATAAGACAAGCACATTGGTTTGTAACGTGGAGGGCGCAAACTGTACATTAATTTTCGGCTGGTGAGTCTATGTACATCCTCTCATGTGTACACACTTGCGCTGTGACAAACACACGGGGAATGATGCTTACAGCAGCGTAGGAGGCCCGATATAAGGCCGCATTGTGCCACGAGATTAGAACGGCCTTATATCGGGCACCCGGCCTTATATAGCATCGGCCCTGTAAAAGGCCGGTACCGGCCTCATTGAGGAATTATATTTCCTCAGTAGGGCCGGTACCAGCCTTACTGAAGATTTACCTGCCGACTGCTTGTAGGCCATGCGAAGGGCCCCTGTGCTGTACGTAAGATTGAATCGGCGCTATACTACAATATTACGTTCATTTCATGCTTCCCATCCAACCTTTTCTCGTCTCTCAGGTGCATGTCCAAGCAGCAAGATATTATAATCCCGGTGAACAAACCTGATACCGTGTAGTCTAAGAGTAGAGGACAGACAATCCGGCCGATCCCCCCGTTTCTTAGAAAACTTAAAGGATACAAGCCTCTGTCCGCCTTGATGTAACCTACTAGGCGAACACCCGATGTAGGGCGAACAGATCAAGCGCGAAACCCATTCAATGGCTCAAGCCCGCACGCGGTAGTTCGTACCTCCGCCCCATAATACGGCTCCCCTCAAAAACGGGGAGGCGAATGACCAGCACACAGCAGAACCATGCTTTCCTGCCACACTACTTGCGAGAAACGACTGAAACGTCACATACATGTAACGGCACGGGCTGCCCAATCCTTACAAAGGCTCCTGGAAAAAAACGAGACAACCTCCGACACAGCAAACTCTACCATTAGTCCTCCCACGCGCTCATCACGTCTAAAGAGATTCTCTCAAGTCCGCCTGTCGCGGAGACAGCAGTGCGGCATGCGCTGCGGCCGTCGCCATCTCAGCCCTCTGCAGAAAGGTCGTGGCCTCCGTATTTCCTCTGTCGGAACCAGCGTCGCTTCTACCGAGACAGGCTGTATTGGGGGAAGGTGGGGGGGCATAACCGGCCTTCTATAGGGAGTGCCTGATGTAGTGGCCGAAGGCCGCCGCCGGCCTTCGGCCTTATCCTATCCAAGTCTTTGCCAGGCGATTTCACCGACCTTGTATCGGGCAGGTGGCCTGACTACTGCGGCCTTATATCGGGCCCCCGACTGTATGTCTACGCGTGCCTGTTTTGCACAGCAGGCCCAGCAGGCCTGCGGACCACGGGATAATCGTTGAGAGTTGTGGGCCTCTGAACGCGGCCTGCGTGTGATGTACATACACACCACCTCTACGGGTGGTGCTTGTCTAGGGTGCGTTGGTTGGTAGTCGTTGTTGTGACTCTGAGGTCTCTCAGTCGAAGAGATGTATGCACACCAACCGAAAGAGACTGCGATGTTAAAAAAAAACAATGTACGACCTACACACCGTGGTAGTCGGGAAAGTCACACCATCCTACTTGTGTACTCTGCTGTACCGCGCGCGGCACAGGTTGTCGTGCAGGTCGGTCCAGCCTTTTTTTCTCGCGAACGGGCAGTCGACAGAGTTACAGCCTGTGTGGTATGCTTTGTCTGGAGTATCCTGCCGTAAACATGACAGGCAGCAAAGCAGCCACTCGGGGCCTGTGGCGGCAACACCATCAAGAACATCAAAAGTTGCCGCGGGCATCGTCATGTCCGATCTATAATGATGATGGCAAATGGGGAAGCCGGCCGGACACACAACAGTAGTTTGACATACACAAGGAGTTGCAAACCAACACCAGCTGTGATGTGCGGGAATGAGGGGTGAATCTGGGAAGAGAAATGCTGCTTCGTTGTCGTGTGTGCGACCGTTTGGCAAGCCGCTGGTTACTGTCGTGTGCCCCTACTTGTGCCGGTTCGCGTGAGGAATATGATCTGACGCGCGCGTTCGAGGACTTGGGTCGTGGACGAGTCTAACCATGTTGTGCGTGGGAATGTCCGTTTGGAGGCGATTCTCGTAGTGGGTGTTGTTGGCAAGGTGCTCCGCGGCCTTGATACAAAATCCAGCTACATTTCTTTAACTATGCTATAAGTAGGAGAAAACTGGGAACAACGTTGAGAACTATAAAGTACGGTGATTGAGTGCACTTGTTCGTCAATACGCTTGAGGGAAGGACGGCGAAACTCTTCCTGATCGAAGCGCTACTCAGTTCGAGAGACAAGGCCGCGGGGTAGATAGAAACTGCTGGGATGGACAACAAACGCAAAATCCCAGTTGTCGCAAGCGTTGAAATTCAGCGCTGCCTAATTGCATCGGAGGCGCTGAGGGTGTGCAGTATCTGCAGTCTACATCTCAACCAACGCAGAAAACGGAGATACACCCTATCTCCGCCACCCCCCTCACACCTCTCGTTGATAACTTGCTGGTTGGTTGTGCTTCACCTCACTCACCTCACCTCACCTCACACAGTACATGCACTTCCATTGACCTTCTTCATCAGTTGGATATGCTTAGAACCGCGGGCATACGATGCCAGTTGGCAAACCGTGAGCATTCAACACGTTCTCTGTACTGACCACCTGGTAGTCGAGCGGCGAAAGGTCACGTTTAATTTCGGACTTCGCGAAAGGAGCCCAGACTTGGCGCGCAGCGGCGTGGCCATGAACGGGGCGATGCGGAAGCAGCACCGCGCAGTCCATGCGTCCACACCCGTTTTTTGGCGCTAGATGCAACGCCACAGATTGTCCAGTCTCTCGTTCTAGCTGCCTCTGGCACATGGTGTATTGTAGTTGACGCTCGGGTTCAATTAATACAGGTTGATTCCTCCCTGCGGGGTTGTCTCGCCAACCCTTTCCCTTCTCAGGCTTTCCCACACACCAGCAACAGAGGCGGCATCTAGCGGCAGGCCTAGCCATCCTGACCCCAAGACAGAAAGATTTACAAAGACGACGCGCATCATGTCTAGATGTCCGTACGCAATTCGACTCATGCGTACCCCTCTTCAAGCCAGAAACACAAATCCTTACAAATCCGAACCCTTTTCATATCACCATGTTTTTTTCTCATTGATTTTTTCTTCAACGCTCAGCAGTAGTTTAAGTGCCCGTTCCCCTTCCCCCCCGTCCCCCCACTACCCTCTCCGCTGGCGTGCTTTCGGTGCATATCGTCGTGGAACACACAGGAGCGATGATTTCCTCTGCACCGTTTGCTGCCAAGACCTGTCCTCCGGGGTGTTCCAAGTGGAAGAGCACCCCACGGTCAGGGGGGTAGCTGTGTGCCCCAGGTGTGTGTGCGCGACTTGAGTTGCGGCGGTGGCGAAGTTTCGTGTGTCAACGCGTGCGGTACGATAGCAACACCAGACTTTTGTTTTTGTGCGTCAAAGCGTGCGGTACAATAGCAGCACCAGGTGTTGTTTCCGTGTGTCATTAGGTACAATGGCAACACCCGATTGATTACGTTTCGTGTGTCAAGCGTCGGTCCAAACAATTGCAACACCGTAGAGAGCACTCCTTTCGTTGCTCTCGTGAGTCGTCGTCGCGAGAGGATTGATTGGCAAGAAGGGCGGGTGCCGCTCTGCGTGTTTTGTCAAAGGTGCGCGAGGTTTTGACGATAGCGTTTCGTGTTTTGCGCGAGGGGGTTTGCCCAAGGATCCGAGGCGTTTGTTACCCGTGAGTCCCTTCTGGTACGAGTCGGGCAGCGGCGATGACGCTTCAGCGTGCCTTTCTTGCTTTTTCGAGAACAATCTGTATGTCGTGTTTGTGCGTTGTCCATCTGGAAAGAGACGCGTTGTCGAAAGGTCACAAATGACACAAGGCAAGCAGCAGAACATCAGCACTCCCCCCGCGCGCCCTTGTTTCTTGGGGGGGGGGGGGGAGAAATTGTATGCGTACAAACGTCTCAAAAGGGAGAAAGGACCCCACATGCGCGAAAAATTTTTAACTTAAACCCCCCCCCCCCCCCCCCCCCCCCCCCCCCCGCACTTACGACAGGTTATCGCCGCCACCTTCCTGTCCGGGGTAGCAACCTCGGCGTGGACGTGGACGGGCCCGCTCTCCCGAGACGCCACCTTCGCCGCCGTTACCGCGGCCGCCGCCGCGTCCCGAGCGGCGTCCACGATGCTCGCACGGCCGGCCCTGGGCAACCTCTTGAGCGTCGCTCTCGGCCACGCCGGCGGCGGCGGCGGCGTCAGCGACCGGCACCACCGCCGGCGGTCGGCGGACGGCGTCCTGCTGGCGGTGACCGCCGGGGTTTCGCAGTCAATAGGCGTGTTGGCGATGGGGGTGGTGTTTTCCAGGGCCGTGGCGGCTGGAGCGGACGCCGGCGTCGTGTCGTTCAGGCTCGTCGCTGCTGCCTTCGTCGGCGTGTATCTGGCGACGCTCTTGGTGTCTTCCTCGAGCGGGACGGCGGGGTCCAGGGCGCGATGGCGCTGCGGCGGCGGCGGCGGCAGCGGCGGGCCCTGGCTCGCCATGTGTGACTGCGTGGAGGAGGCGACGGCCGCGAGCACCGTGTCGTCCCCGCCGATGTCGTCGTACACGCTGGGGGAGGTGTGGGGGGGGGATCAAGCGGGGGGCGGGTGGGTCGCGGGTGCAAGCGACCTGGCAAAGGAGTCTTGATTTTGATTCCCTTTAGTGGCTTGCACTCAAATCAAATACTTTGTTTTTAAAGTCTCCACGAAATATGGGTTGCGAGTTTAGTATTTCCGTCATGGCCGACGCCAAGGTGGCTGTATTTGCATGGCTCTCGCCGCTGTTGGTGTAGGCAGAAGAGTATCAAATGTGAGTTGTTTGTTAGCGATGTGCTGTGTTGTGCTGCGGTCTGGGATAAGTTTCACAACTCCGACGAATGTTTGTGCGTGTAGGGTCTGTCGACAACGATCGTTTGGTCTTGGGCCCGTGTTGTTGCGCTCATGATCTCTAGATTGCGTTGTGGTGTCGGAAGTGCAGCTGGACTAGGGAGGCGGGGGGGATCACAGGTATGGGGGGTTCAAAGTTTACCGGTACTATACAGGTGGTATTCGGTGTCGCGTATCATGATGTTCATATAGAGCGTACTGTCGATAAAAAAGAGTCACGTCCGTGTCCCCTTTTTTTGTTAGTTTTGTTTTTTAATGTTTTGAACAGGTACAACGGGTGAGTGGTCTCTGCCTGTGCATGTAGTGACATCCGGCGCAGTGCTGTTGTATCGCGTTGCCGCAGTATCGCCCGTTCGCCCCCCAGGTCTGCTGGGACACGTTCTAAGACACGCAGGGGAGAGCTTCATTCCCCTTGTTTTGATTGTTCAAGCCTTTCGCACAGTTCCATGGCCAGAAGGTGAAGTAGTACCGCCATTAGCTTGTTGAACGTTTGGGATGACACCCACATGGATTTCCAAAAGATAGGATAGCTGTCGCTACAACAAACGACAGCCCATTGATGTAACTGTCGTCAGAGACGTGTGCGTCCACGGGCGGAAACAGAGCGCAAACACCACGCACCCTGATGCTACACCTACCTGCTGTGCGCTGGTGAGAGAGCTGTTATGTGGTAACGAATGCGAGATTTTCACCTGCCGGTTACCTACCCCGCCCCCGCCCCCGTCCCACATCCCGATTTCGTGGACCATACCCACCCCCCGATACTGTTGGTGAACCCCCTGTTCTCTTTTTTTTTTCGGTGCTGCTCGGCACGAACGAGCTGTGCCAGTGAAACAGCAAGACACACAAGTCAGTTCTCGTCACCTAGCGCACCAATCGTCATGGGACCACTTCGAGCGTGTGCTCCATTGCGATATCTGGGGGCGTGACAGTGTTGGGCATGGATGTTGTGTGTGGGAAGAGCTTCATAGCGGCGTGGAATCCGATCAATTTTCTTTTTTTTGGCCCGGCCGGGCACACACAGCAGCAGCACGGCATCGCCATGCAGGCAAAAGCGCCAAACCATCGCCACGATGCTCTCGCCACATACAGCGCCCATGTCCAACACAACTGTCACGTCCAGAGAAACCACAATGGAGCACACGCTCGAAGTGGTGGGATGGCGATCGGCGTCCTACGTTTCAAGACCTGATGTTTTGCTGTGCTCATGTTGCTGGAAGTTCAATGCGTCGGTCAACAAAAATGGGCGACAGCAACAGCCTCACACCACAGAGAGTCCAGCGGCATCGAGCCCAGATGCTGTCGCCCGCAGTGCGTGTGTTCTCTGTTGTACAGAGTGCAATCCGCTGTCTGTGTGTTCCGAAAAAAAAAGGGGGACGGGGTGCTGACCCCTTCTAGTCTAAAATCAAGTCATATCATGTACTCTAAAACCAAGTTCAAGCGAACAGACACACGCATGTGCAAACTTTTTTTTCTGGATGGAGCCCTATGTGCGGCGAGACCTCATCAGGGGAGATCAGAAATAAATCTCGCTTCGCTCGAAAAATACAGGTTGGGGGCGCGCGCGGGGAAGGGGGAGACTTTGCTTTGCTTTATGTGGTTTGTACAAGCTGGTCCGGCCAAGAAGCCCACATTGTGTCAGATGGTCATAACTTTGCCGCATTTGCGATTCATCTCAAAGCAAAGACATTGCCGTGATCGGGAGACTCTGGCGCTGATGATGGAACTCTGTATCAGTTCATAGCGGAGGATTCTCAAATAGAAGCATATTTTGAGGCTTGAAACCGTCAAAACAATCAACAATAAAAAAAAAAAAAGCGGCGAAATTACGCAATTCGGAGCGCATCAAGGCACATCACAGCAGCACACCTCTCTCGATAGCGCGCTGCGTATGGCTACGGACGCGCAGAACACCCAGCGGTGGGAGGGTACTTCTGCCCCTGTGATAAACCATGACAAGAGTGCAGATCGGTGGCGACTGGAGCTGAACTACACCCCCAAGAAGAAAAAAACTGCGAGGAAGAGGTCCGCATGGTACACCGCGCGCGAGGAGGCTGAAGCATGAACAAGTTGG